TACAAGCATTTCCACCATCATCAATCAAATCCAAATTTACCCTAATGAACATTATAAGTAAAAACGGAACAAGAACCGAAGTAAAGACCTTTAAAACTAAATACTCATTCTTCCATTGCATAGACGATGAAAAACAGAGTCAAAAGCTCGAAACTTGAAAGAAACTAAAGTCGCCAGAAAATCTCCTGGAAAATAGCATAAACTCCTAATCTAGAGAGCAAAAATAAAACATAAGCTAATTTCCCAAAGTGGGAAAAGTGAAAAATGAGAGAGGATCCTCAAAATGCAAAGGACAAATTGTATTTATACTCCACACAAACACATAGTAAAAAAAAACGCAGATTTAGTAGGGCACTCTCGACCAAGCTACGGAATCTGCGAGCACGCGGATGCTCAGCAGCACGGGTGCACGCACGCACAGCACTCTCGAGCTCGCATGAAGATTCGCGGCGCGGACGCTGGGAAAAAGAATCTCTCGACGTCGCTGGCAGATTCGCGCGGTCGCGGGTGCGCGCATATGGGACTCGCGTGGTCGCGGAGCTTTCCGCGTGGTCGCGAGTGTAGGCGTTGGGCGCTCGGGCGCTCGGGCGCGCAGGCATGTGATGGCAAGGTTGTGCAAACTCTCGAGGTCGTGGCATTTTCCGCGAGGGCGCGAGTATATGTGATGGGTACACTCTCAAGGTCGCTAGCCCTTCCGCGAGCACGCGGGTATGCGAGTGCGGGCTGGCGTGACGTGCGTCTGCGAGTGCGCGGCTTGGGCTGCGCGGTCGCGAGTACTGGGCAGCACGTGTCCGGGCTTGACTAAGGCTTGAAACACTCGGTTTGAAATGGATCGTTCGAAACGACTCGACTTGACTCAGAATTGACTTTGTAACACTCATCTCGACTCTCCTCGTTCATTCTCGAAACGATCCTGAAATTTTCACAACAAAACACGGAAAAGTACGCCAAGATATAAAAGAAAACGAAAGACACAAAAACACACGGAAATCGATAAAATGGATTGGTCGACACTGAAACAAACCTAAAACCGACTCGATAACACACACAAAAACATAAAAATAAGCACAAAAACATAACAAACAGGTCCTCTACAACCTCTCAACCTCTGAGGACGAACCCAAACCGAACCTCGACCCAAGGGTCGTGCCCCCACTAATCAACCTCTTGAAAAAATATAAAAAAGACTCCAAATTCACCGAGAAGGCGCGTTTCCTCTTGGAGATATTCTCGGACTCTGAAGAGGGTCGGAATACAATTACTGAATCAGAAGGTGGGATTTTAACCTTGGTGGAGACTGTGGAAGACGGGTCCTCATTCAGCATGTTGTATACTGTGGGGGCATTATTGTCATTGTGTAGGAGCTCACGGGACAAGTATCGGAAGCTTATTCTTAACAAGGGTGTTATCCCGGGCCTTTTGCGCATGACAGCCGAGGGTACCCCAACCGCTCAGGACCGGGCTCGGACGGTGTTGGATTTGCTCAGGGATTCGCCTCCTGAGAAGAGACTCACCATGTTGGAACTCGAGAGGATTGTGTACGATTTTGCTGCACATATTGACGGGAAGGGCAAGGCCATGGAGACTGCTAAGAGATTGTTGCATGATATGGCTCAGAAGAATGCGGAAGCTGATTTAACCAAGAAATGCTTGCGAGGTGAACTTTTTACGACCTTACTCAGAGTTTTATGTTTTTAACCATACTAGTAAGGGACACGTGCCAGCACGTGGTGAAAATATGTTTTTTTCTAATTTAGTTCACCAGGAGATGTTTGTTTCATGGTACTATGTTTTCTTAATATTCACTCTTAATAGAAAGTATGAAGTGGCCGGGATAAATTATTAATCTTCTATGGTAAAATAGATAGTAGATGATTTTTAAAAAAAAAAATATAAAGTAAATGAACTATAGCAAGAAAGTAACAAAATATTTTTCTTAAATTTAAATAGTAACTAAAGAATGTTCTTAAATTTAAATGATGTAAAGAAGAAACTATGGTCTTCAACTCTTCTCTTACTTTATGTTGATGATCAGGGAGGATGATTTCTTTCCCTTTTCTTTTGAATTTTTGTGCACATATTTCTTTTTAAGACTTGTGATTGTTATTATCCTCAATTTCAATGACACTATCATTGTCGTCTTCCTTTATCTTGTTGGCGACGCGTTTTCTTCTTTGATTTTTTTTTTTTTTTTTGTGTGGCGCTTCTTGATTCTTTTGCAGGTCACCTACAGTTTTGGGAGAATTTGATGACCTTTTGTTCATTTCATCATCATTAATAGGTTGCAGTCTTGCAATTACTTTGACAACCACGTTCATCTCTCCTCTTGAGTTGTAGGACATATGATTTAATTAGATGACTCTTCTCCCTAATCAATTTGGAACGAAATTTGAGTTAAAAATAGAGTATTTAAAGATGAATTTGAGTTATAAATTTGAGTATTTGAAGATGAATTTGAGTTATAAATTTAAAATATTTTTTACCTGCTCAATGAATCTAATGTAGTCTGCAATAGAGCACCCCACGTAAACCATTGCGACATCTTCAAAAAGTGTGATAGTACCACTGAGGTTCTCTTCTACAATATTTAGTACCAACCTATATCTGCAAATAGTAAAATTGTTTTAACTGTGTTCTGTTTTTAAAATATAAGATTGAATTTTTTATGTTTTTTCTTATTACCTTGGAGTTTTTTCCACGATATTTTTGCAATTTTTACACATCTTGTTGTCGTCGTTCTTGTTAACAGAGGAGGAGCATTTTTTGCATGATTCATAGTATAATGATGATATGTTCATGACCTTGACGATAGATCCTCTGAAACAATAGTATTTTCACTGTGATGGGCAACAATAGTTATGGATATAAATTCAACAAAAAAAATATGTTGGTTATCTAAGATATTTGTTAAATTTACATGTCTGCACGATTGTAATGAATTTGTTGCAATGTGATACTATCCAAATCCTTCATTCTTCTTGCCACTGACATTTCAATTATTTTCACAGGCTTGCCATGTGTTTGTAACCTAAAAGATACAAAAGGTAGGAGGTAATATTATTATTATGTAAAGTGTGATATTTTTTATATCGTATGAAGAATTTAGAGGATACCATATATGCATATGGTTGTTTTCCTCACACGCCGTGTTTATCCGAAGTACAAATGTTGCACTATTTTGCAATTGCAATTGGCCTAATCAATTAAATGTGAACGTTATAAGCGTAAAGTTATATGGACAATTATCTACAAATATAATTGGGATTATAAAAATTAAAGTATGATTGCCATTAACGTTGTTTGATTGTAAATAAATAATCTCAGAAATATGTATGATTGTAAATAAATACTCCCGGGCAATAAATACTCCCACCAATATGTATGAATGTAATTAACATTTGAAATATCTATGATTGTAATTAAAACTAAAAATTAAATACTCACAGCAATACCCAAAGAAATAAAAAAATTAAAAAGAACATTGTCTATATATGTCAATAAGAATATAAATCATATAGTTGTAATTAATTGAGCAATATGTATGATAATTGTTTGTCACTAACATAATTTAATGCAGAGAAAAGTTATATTCACAATTATCTACAACCATAATTAAGGCATTGTAAAAATAAAGGTATTGTTTATGTAATTGGTGTTGATGTTACCGTTGTATATCTTTGGTTTTATCAAATTGCTAATTGCAATAAATGGACTCTCTTCAACCATATCGTGTACGTTGGATCTTTCATTTTAAGTCATGTTATCCCATAAAGAGACAAGAATGGATCGATACATACAGATATAATCAATTTAGAACTTTGTTATCATTATTAATATTTTGTAAATTATAAATATTGTATGTTTGAAGCATATTTATGGAATTTTTCTCTATTATATATGTGTTTTTGAAGTATACAAATTATTACTAATATTTGATAAGACATTGTTAATTTTTAAGGAAAGAAAATATGTACTCTTGGTCCATAATCATTATCTCCCTTATGGTTGTTTTTGCTCCGGTTGCTTTGTTAACAGTCCTTGATTCCTTGGCCTTCATTACAATCCCACATATGTTTGAAGAAAAATATAAATGTAATTTTACTAATAGAGTGGAGTTCGTAGGAATCTAATTTTTGCATATGGTACAATATATACATACCAAATTTTTATTTGCATGATTTTTGACATTAATGTTATCGAACTTGATGAAATTATAGGAGATATTGTGTCCTATATCTTCAACAGCAAGATTTACAGAGGTTTTGTTGGACTTTCTAAGACATATTTCTTTCTCTGGATGAATGACCATATTTGCAAAAGTGGGATTGACTTTTCCAACTTCAACATAAGTGATTGAATAAATTTGTTGCGTTGGAATTTGTCGGCGTATTCATCAATATCAGCATTAAATATTATTACTCCAATTTGGACTCCCTGCACACATGAATAAAATAAATCGTTAATGATATTTGCTTATTTCAGGCTTAGAATTTATGATTAGTTATCAATTTATCTTGGCAAGTAAAGTACTAAGAAAAATGCTACAAATACATAATAAATGTATATAGAGGTGTACATAACACTCACATGGAGTGGGGTCCACTTTATTTTTTTATTTTTGGTAGGTCCCACTAAATGTGAGTGTTACGTATATCCCTATGTAAAATAGTAGTATGTACCAATAGAATATGCGTATTGTCTATTGTGCGTGAGATAGATAACTGTGAAAGGCATTTGCTGAGTGCATTGATAAATGACAGTACTGCAAATTATAAGACATTCTTATAAAGGTTGGGTTGTTAGGACAAGCTAATTCTTAAAAGGCAAACACACATATACATACAACAAAGCGTAATCTTGTCGCTAAATCTTAGTGACTTATTGAGACATTATTTACATCACAGGAAACTACACCAATTTCTTTAGGAAAACAATTTGCCATGGTCACAATTATTATTGTTTATTTAATTTCAGTAAGGGACTCTTCAACAAACGAACACATCTTAGAGAAAAACTTGTTGATAAGTATCCCCACATATAATTCGAAAGGAGGGTTAACTATCAAATCGAAAGAAATGTCTTATAACATAGACTAAAACTTGGGTTCTAGCAATGTCGTATAAAATAGACTCAATTCGAAAGGAGGATTAAGTATCAATTCGAAAGAAAGGAGGGTTAACTATCAATTCAAGCGTACACACTTATAATTCGAAAGGAGGGTTAACAATTCAATTTTTTTCTTTCTACTGCTAACTATCAATTCCAACTTACGTGGGTTCTAGCAAGGTCCAATTTTTGGCAGATTTTTTACATTAACATGGCAAAAGATTTTGATTTCAGGACAAAACCATCAAAACCCCAATAATTTTTTTTTTTTTTGGTACAGGGACCTTCCGGTTTCCGGATCCACAAGGGAACCGACTAATCCGGAATCGAGCCGGGTAGGACCACAAGGGCGGCAAAGCTCTCCCTCAAGAGTTTTAACACTGCTGCATTCCCAGGACTCGAACTCGAGACCTCTGATTAAGCTGGAAGAGACCCAAGCCATCTCATCCAAGCGCTCTTGGGTAAACCCCAATAAAATTTGAACGAACACATCTTATATTTGGCTCATCTATGTTGAAATTATTTTCATTTGTAAGATCCTACTAATGTCATAGTCATACCACTCTCAACCCATGAGGATCGATTACGTTCGAACTCAACAACTAAAATCTACACTTACCAGAACATTAGGCTACAACTCATTCTTAGTCCCTAAAATGCAACTAAATTGAAAATATACAACAGAAATTCACACAAAGTTCCTCGGGGTGAGGTGGCCGTTTTCGTGTATGAGATTTCACAGTTCCATCTAGTGTGGATCGTCCTTTCTTGTGTTCTTCCTTTCTTTCTATTTCGCTTTATTTCTTCATCTTGTTCCAAATCCTTTCTCTTCTTCATCCCTGTTGTGTGTAGCTGTTGGTTTCCTTCCTCTTCAAATACTAGCGAGATCTAATTTAGGTTTTGTGGTGTAATTAGGGTTCGTGGCGTAGGCGGCTGAATCAAACTTGATCCTAGGGTTTGCACATTTCTGGTTTCCTTCAGAGGATATCATGGATCAGGAAATTGTGGAGAAGTTGAAGAAGTTTGATTTGTCTGGAAAAGAAGACTCAAGAGTTACGCTTGACCTTGCCGATGTGGAACCAGGAATCAACGAGTGCGAGAGGAGTTTAATAGAGAAAATAATAAGGGAGAAGAAAGTGAATCTGGTGGGTTTTCGAACAACAATGGGTGTCGTATGGAAGACGAACAGACCTTTCTCTATTCGTCTTATTGGCACAAATTTATTTCAATTTCTTTTTCAAGATGAGGCGGATAAGGAAAGGGTTCAGAAGGGAAAGCAATGGACATATGATGGCCAATATCTACTGCTTAAAGAGTGGGATAAAGATGAGGTTGCCTTTCAGGAGGATGAACTAAGAGTAGATCTGTGGATGAAAATTCACAATCTTCCATTGCATTGGATCTCAGAGGAAACAAGATTAAAAGTGGGCAGAACAGTGGAGAAAGTCCTAGATGTAGTAATCCCTACAGCAAGAAGTGTGAATGGGAGACTGATCCGAGTCTTGGTGGCACTGCCAATGTCCGAACCTTTATCGAGAGGCATGAAAATCAAATTGGGCAAGGAAGAATGATGGATTGATTTCCGGTACAAA